TAGGAATCATGAAGATTCATGAACTATAATCTGAGTTGCTTGATCCGTTGATCTGTATACTTCCACTCCACCCCCCGTGATCCGTGCACTCTCCAGCTGCGGCAGTAGGAGGGCGGTGGCAGATGGGCGGTTCCAGCCAATGTCCAGGCGTCGATTCGGTGCGAAACTCTTGTTCCAGTCCCTTCCATTCACAGCTAGCTGGGTGGCTTTTTGCAGGTCCCACTGATTTGGAGGTTTCCTAGTCTAGAGGTAAATGGAAGGTATACGGTGTAGGGCTACTCTCACTCTGAAAACAAGGGATGCTGCGTAAGCCTGTTTCGTGCTGGAGGACTTTAAGGAGAGCGACCAGAAATGCACCCCAAACCGCGATTCTTTCGTGCGGACGGACTCCCAACAATCATGGCGATCGTGTTCTGATAGCACAGGATCCAAAGCTGGCGATCGGCCATGAATGGGACTTGGCTGTGAAGCGTCAGCTCCTCCGCGACGACCAACCAACCTTCCGGTGGTCGCGGTGGGCGTTTTTAATTCGCCGCCAGAAATCAGCCGCGTGGGGACGCACCTCTTCGCGATCGAACGTGAGGGACGATTTGAGGGTTTGGGTTGCTGGGAAGCACAACTCAACTCTTTTCTTTCTTCAAGGGGTCCTTAACCAAGACTGCCTATCCAGGCCCCCCCAAAAAAGAAAATATGCGAGCAATCCAAACCATCAGTTGAGCCTAATTGGTCTGTTCATTCGAGGTGTATGGAATCCACATTTGGGACCTTTTGGAGGATCTTGGTCTTCGCACCAACGTCTCGTTTTGGTCCAGTTTTTCATCCTCGAGATGTCGTCGGTGGCAGGTGAAGGAGCAGGTGTCCAAGTACTGCAAAAGTCTTGCAGATTGGGTGTGTAAGCTACAGAACCCCCCATGCAAAGCATTGAAGAAGCTGGCATGGGATGATCTCTGATTGAACTGGGTCGATGATCCTTCTTTTTCATTGGGGCCTCGTTGCCGAACGAACGAACTTCTGCCTCACGACGCCTCAAGACTGATCGCCGACCCGGACACCGGCGATATTCGCCGGCGGCGTGATCGCGATGGAAGACATCACCGGTCGACTCCAAGAAGTGTTTCTGGAGGATGTTTTGACGGAAGCTGGTGATGTAAGGAAGTGCTTTTGTTGTTGCTTTGCACAGCCCTGCTTTACACATCATTTGCTCACCCAGCTCCAATTTTGACTCAAGACCATGAAACCACTGGTGTTGCCCGATTTCGACAACCACCTCCTCGGTCGACTGCGCGGTCGCGGCCTCCAACGCCGCGGATCCCTAGCTCTGCGTTGGTCTCGGCCCCATGTAAATAGCTCGTCTTCACCTGGGCGGTTGGATCGAGCGAGATCCGATCTACCTCGCCGACATCCGCCAAGTCCGCGGTTTCATCCGCGCCCCGCGGACACGTGTCGTGCGGACACAAAGCCGCGAAGCCTTGACCAAGATACAGATTTGAGAGCATGCTTCTGCGTGGTGGTTTGGAATACGTTTAAGATTACGTACTCCCAAGGGAAAAGGGTTCTTTGCGGGTAGCCTTCAAATACCATCAAAAGAAAGGTGTACCAGTGTACCTGGTGTTGTAGTCTAAAATCCTTGTTACAACATGCAACAACAAGGATTTTTCTTCGCTCAGCTAAAGCTGCAAGCCCATGAAATTCATATTAAATCATGGTGGTTGAAATCCTAGGGTTTGGATGGTTTAAGCCAGTCTCACCATGGAGGCAGAAGGACTGAGTCGTGAGAACTGTTTTGACCCTTAAGCAGATGTGGGTATGGAGTGAGCATGTTGGGAAGGCATTTGCTTTGACAGTGGTATCTTTCCTCTCAATGCCCAGAGGTCCAAAGGGGGGTCTCCCCATAGTTTTCAATGGTCGGATCATCTCCGCGACCAATATGGACTCCGCCAACCGTCAAAAGCAGAGACCACAACACCGGGCAACGAGGGGGAGTGCGGCACCGGGCAATGCTCAGTGCTCTAACTTGAATAGACGTCAGCCCTCCTAATAAACCTGCCCTCCTTTTCTATTGCTTCCATACTGATCTTTCTTTCCGATGTGCCATTCTGGAATCCTTCTAAGTTCCTTCTTTGCATGGCTTTGGCTTCGATCTTCTTCGGCCCCAATTTCCAGATGATATTTTTCCCCCAACATGGACAGAGCATTCTCGTCCATGTTGGGGGACATTTTCTGTTGTGTGTTGCCTTGTTGGATTCTATGTTGGCGTTCAATCCTTGTTTCTTGCTGTGATGCTGGTTCGGACTTCTTAGTCCCTAACATGTCCATCAAGTCGTCGATACATGTCGATACTATTTGACAATTAAACTCATGCTCACTCGTGAACTTCAATGAAGCCAGTATTTAGGTTCAAAGTATTTGATGATCTCAACGGCTTTTAATACGAGTCTATTTGCATCACCAGTTTTAAAAAAGACTGCTCTGACCTGTTTTCGGTGCAAGGTGGAGATGCCCAGATGACGTCAACGTTTTTATCATTCTTTTTTATCCCAGTTATTCAGTATACAGTATCTTCATTGATACTAGCATCTTTAAGGTCAAGCGATGCAACATCACAACCAAGCTCTTTAGCGAGGTGACCGACACTTCCAGTTCCACTGAAAAGTTCTAATTTCACAATATTTCATAACGTTAACAAAGAACAATATATATATATAGTTATGAGTTATGAGTATTTCTCCGTGTCCTGATCATAATCAGTTTTTGTAAAAGGGTCTCTTTTCAGGGGCTTCTTTGCTTTCTTTGTTATTCTCATCCAATTGCTTTAACATGTCTAATATCAGTTTAACACTATGAGTGCACCTGTTGTTTTTCTTTATCAGTTTCAGTTCAGCCAGTTCATTAACTTCCTCTTCAACTTCCGTCATTGATTATACAAGAAGTGTTGTATATTTAACACGCTATATATGTGTTTCGTTGTTTTCTTTAGCTGTCCTATGTTCCCTTTCGTTCATTCTCCTCATCCGTGATGTTCCTGTTGAACGTCGTTGCATAAGAACGCTCTTCAACACTACTCAGGATATCCACTTCACCTTCCTGTTTAGTCCTGCCTGCGGTTATTGTTCTTTTCCTGCTTATCTTGAATGGGCAGGATGCGCTTCAGTTATCGCTGTTCTGACACTTCTGACATATGATGACATGCTGTTCTGTTAACAGTGGCTTTTCTATTATCTGCTCGGTCTGTTCGACTTTATCTACCTTCATTCTTCTCTTGTCCTTTTTTGGTGGCATCTATATTCAACTTGACACTGTTCTCAAAATATTGAGTGGATAATTTACAAAATCGAGAAGAGTAGAACAACGCCTTTAGTTTTCAATGACTGGGAACATGTCATCATGAGCACGGCGCTTTCCGTCCCACCTATGACGTCACGAAGAACTTGATATGTTTTGTTGGTTGTTTCTTTATGTATAATATATATACATACGCATGTGTACATGTGTTTTGTTCTTAAGTGTCATAATTAGACGTTGCATAGGCAAAGTCTAATTATTGTGCTTGGGGTACATTCTTGAATTCACTCTGCAACTCTCAGACACAGCATTGGGGCTTGTCAATTGCAACAAACAAAACATTGTGTTTTGCGGATTAGCAACCTCTCTAGTGCACTCCCTTGAGAGTTCCGTTAAATCCTTAAAATGTATATTGTTTTCGTTGATGAACAATAACACACACCACATTCAACCTACCAAAGAAATCAAATATGACTTCACTCAGTCAATATACGCAGTTGCCCCTAAAGTGCCCTTCAGGCCAACCATCATGGGACCGGGTAGATCAGTGCTACTGACCAATATGATCATAGTGTTTGGTTGCCGGCCAAGAAATACATCAAAGAAAATATGAAGGTGGACACTTAATTATAAAGAATGACTGGACAACCATCCTTCTAGATAGCTGGGACCACTACCCTGCGTTCGCCGCTGTGTGATTTTCTTCTTGGTGCCTGCCTTGGGCCAGCCTCCAAACTAGAATGTCTCGATCTAGCTCTTGCAGGTTGCATACGATTTTGCATAACTATTGGACACTCCAGATTATTCTTTTCCCTTGATGCTTCCTGATTCCTTTCTCAGGGCTTCGCACCGTTTAGTGACGGTTCTAGCGTTCGAAAAGCACGGCTCAGTTCTTGCGTGCAGGGTTCCAGGGCGGCTAAAGTCTGGAGTGCTTCCAGCGGGTTCTCCACTGGTTCCCACTGTGGAGCTGACGGAACGAGAGTGGAACAGAAACATCAAACTTTGGTGGATCTATACTGGAGGGCTTCCCCGACATGATTTGAACGTGACATTTTGGTGGTAAGTGGCCAGACTTGCAGCCTTGGTTTTACTTCCTGTATCGTCAGAAGGTGTGGGCTGAAGCCCTTCCAAGCATGGGAGCAAGTAAATTGCAAACCTATAGATCTAGTGATCTCAGATCTACCTTGTGACCTTGTGTTTTTTCTGCTCAACAAACTTTAGAAACCACTTCAAATTCGCGGTTCTTCGTTAATCCTACTTTGGAACACTTCGCAACCTCCCAACCCATTGTACCTGAACCCCTATTTCAGCGGGCTCGCTGAGACCCGCGGACCCATCCGCAGCTGTTCGTCGAGGGGGCACCACGCAATACACGGATTATACATGGATTGCATATGTGTAAAATCAGACACCAAGGCCTTTTGATGCCTGTTGACACCCAATCAGAGCAACAAACTGCATTGAGCTGCACAAAACATCAAGCGCAAAGGCGCCAGGAGGAAGGCCTACGAGTTCGACGTTTCTTTTTGCGTCCGAAGTGTACGATGTAGGCTTGGCCATCAAAGACATGCGATTATAAGTGAACTGAAAGATATCAATGGTCCTTCCCAAATCCCACCAATCACATTCATCCACAGGCTGGCTACAGATTTGGATCTGATTCTATAGTCCTACCACTCAAAAACTTTGTGGCGGCCACGAACGGGAAGAGCTTCAGAGCGGTCACCGGTCCATTCAGCTCTTGCTCTAGCGCCGCGTCGCTCTCGCCATGCCCTCCCACGGCGAGTGTATCACGCTGTGCATCGGACAAGCGGGCTGCAACATCGGCGAGGACGGGCCAGTGTTCGCCAGCGGGTTCGGGCGATGGACGGGAAATAGAAGCCGTGGTGAGTCCACAAAGTGCTGCAAGTCCACAAAGGACTGGTTCCGGTTTCAGGTTGTTTCGATGAAAAACCACGATTCGCTCGAAAACGGAGGTTTTTTGGTCCCTTCATGGTGGAGTCACTCTAAGCCATTTATAGCCATTTTGTCGGTGCCGGAAAGTTACAACAACATGTTTGGGAGCTGACAGTCGCTTTCTGTCAGAAGGGTATTGGTTGTAAAGAATTTGGCTTGTGCCATATTGGGATCATCAATTTCTTGGGTTGGTGATCAGATGTTGCAACTCCTGGAGGCATCCTGGCAGGATGTGGCAGGGCATCTCTCAATTAACAAACCATTGCCAGGGGCACTCGCCCGGACCCTGAACCATTCTTGTGAACGCCAGCCTTGATGAATTATAAACCGTTTCCAAGCTGTTCATCCAAATTCTGCTGGGAAAGATAGTTGGAAACATCCAGAACCTAGAAGTAACCATCGCTCACATTGTTCCGCAGGTATAGGGAGAGAGCTGGACCCCCCTGAACCTCCGTTGTTAACCCCAGCAATTCTTCAACAATCCCTGCATGTGGAAAAAAATAGGTGTGTTCCAGAATAGGGAGACCCACACTGAACGGGTAGACTGGTCTATTTCCTTCTTCCCAGGGAGTCCTTCACTGCCAGGTGTCCCTATTGCAATACAGATTGTACTTAGGATCTTGAGTGGCTGAGTGGCCGCTGTGAACGACCCGGATTGCACATACCCTCGATACACCAGATGCGACTCTTCCTTCCTTCCACCGATTTCTACGGGGAACTGAACCGATGGCAGAAAGACCCGATGGCATCCCCGCCCTCACATCGAGGACGTGTGGGAACTCTTCTGCGTGGAGCATCAAGTGGAGCCCGATGGCACTCGTCGCCCGGAGTTTTTTCTTTTGACAATGGCCAGGGCGCATGTTCTGGAGGATGGACATGCTGGGGAGTTTGCTTTGATGTGCTTTTTTTGAACCATGAGTTCTGGCGGGAGTGAAACATTTAGTTTTTTTAATTGATGACATTTGGACTGCAACTGCAATTGTTGCAAGATCCTAGATGAGTGGTGCAAGGTTGCGTAAGGTGTCTTCCGAGACAACAGAATGTGTATCTCTTTCTCTAGTAACTTAGTAGTTTCACGCCCGAGAGTTAATGTAGCAAAACATGACAGGTTGACATGAATCCACACTCATACGTTCAAACGCAAGTGCCCAATAGGACATTGTCATGAAAAGACATCACCAACTTCCCGACCAATGTTTCACCCCATCCAAACGGCCGTGTTGCCTTGCCTTGCGGACAAGTGGATGGTGGTGCTTCAGAGCACCAGGCCATGAGGCATCCACATGTGCATGAGCCTTTTGGCAAACCACGCGGTCGAACTCGCTCTGCGGTCTCGCTGCCCGACCGGCCTGCTTCGGCCTCGGCACGGCGAGGCCGGAAGTTGGAGGAGAAGAGGAAGTCAGAGATCATCTCCGAGGAAGCAGACTCCGCCTTTCGATGCTGGGCGAGCATGAGTGCGATATGTGAGAATGGTCGTTCCTCTCTGATGTCTTGGTCCGGGTCAAGAGATGGCAGCAGCCCAGTTTTCAGAGTGCGGATGATGAAAGAGAGCGACTTAGTCTTTAGGTGGGGTTGTAGAAACAGTGAAGTTGTCAATGGATTGCCATGGATAACAACAGAAGATGTTCTGTGTTAACAGAATCGACCAAACGTAAAAATCTAAAATCTCTTATACAAACTCAGATTCCGATGCCTGTGACAGTAGAGGATAAGACTCATCTTCACCACAGCTGTCTAGTCATATCTAATCTAGCGTTTCGACCAATGCTGGTGTGTACCACAGCCTGTTGGGTAGCCCTATACTTCTGATGTCCTTGTACGCGGGTGTGTATTCAACCGTGTCAATGTATGCCAGTACGCTTGCGCACCAACTCCGTGTGGGCAAGCACCGACCACTCTGCTGAAACGAAGCCCTACACCTCCAGTCGTACCTCCTCAGGTTCGGTATGACTGGACCCTTCTGGCACCCACCCCAGTCCCACCTTCTAAACGAAGGTACGACTGGAGGCCTAGGGCAGTAAAGCTGTCTCCCACTTGCCTGACTCAGATACGATTGAGATATGTAAGACGATGAGCCGGACTCTTCCAGGGTTTTCTCACTGGGAGCTTGGTATCTTTTAGTGGATGGCATCTTCTTTTTCTCCCATCCAAGAACCATACCAACAACATCCTCTTCATCACCAGTCAGACTGAAAGCTCGTCCTGTCCATTCTGAAGCGCTTGCCCTCTCCTGTCGATGCTATAGACCAGGTCAGGTCGACAGGTGCCTCGTGCCTCTTCAGGATCGTTCTTCTCGGACACCCACGCCAGCCCCGCGCAGTACGTACCGCGGAGCATCTTCGTGGACACGGACCCCTCCACGCGCGACGAGATGCTCACGGGGCCAAACCAAAAGCTCTTTCACCCGGAAAGTGTCTTAGGCTCCTCGGCGATCCGATCCTGGAAAGGGATGAGCTGTGAGGCAAGGAGCTGTAGCGGCCGATGAGCTGTGGAAAGAGACCCTTGCTGTGTTCATGTTTGAATGTTTTGTTTTCGCTTCTGGGCATGGGTTCGAACAGATCCAGAGAAAGAGAGAGAGATGTTGGATGAATCTTTCAAAGTTTTTGCAAGGGCATGCTGAAGAGCTACTCCTTTCCGCAGGTCGAGGCAGTGCATCGTGTATCTGTAGTCACTGTAGTCACACACACACACATAGTAGTATATACGGTATGTCTCAAGCTTTGGAGGATGTCGCTTGTCACACAAAAGTAAGGATGTTATGTCATGTTTGTTTCGGCAATTAAGAACATGCGACAACGCAAGACACCATATTTTAGGACACCTGGTTCGTGTTGTGAAGATTGGTTCCTTCTACGGACTTGGCGAACGTACACAAGTCCCGGTGACGAGACTTGGCGTTTTTTCTCAGTAGAAGAACTCTATCCTACCACGAGGGGTTGGAGCGGCGGAAATCCGCTTTCTCCAATACAGTAACCATGCTTTTTCCATGGAAGTCCCACAGACTCTGTTTTTTTGGGGTGACGCCCGTCCTGGACCCCCAGCCTTTCGTCTTCCAGCCCGTCAGGGCCGAACAGTTCGTCGTAGGTATACGGGACACCGCACGATAAAGGAAGGCGCAACCCTAAACCCAACAGATGTTGAACTGAGATTGTAGGATCACTTTGCCATGATTCTTGGGAAAAGCATCAAATCTCCTCGAGCATCATGGACTTAATACTATCCCGAAGCCTTCTTCTTCAAGTGTTGCATCCAATATTTCCTCATTCTTCGCCGAGGTTACGCCCTGGAACATTAATGTAGACACTTGATAAACAAACCTACCCATTTGAACTGGAAATCCTCTTCATATGGAATGGGTGGTTGAAAAATCAAGAGTTTTCATGAACATGGAACCTTACATACGTCCCTCCTTCTTCGGGTTGTAGAAGGAAATCGGAGGTCGGAGTTGAGCGCCAGCTCAGCTAGCTTTTTCCTGCCCGAGGTTACAAGCAAGACTGCCGAAACATCTTCTTCGAGGCGGGTCGGGTGGACCGGTTTCATGGTGAACCGAGGTGAAGAGATGGCAACCAACTGTTCGTCCAGGAGTTTCAAATGTACCAAATGGAGTTTCGTCCGTCCATGGTACTGTTCGTCCTCCCAAAAAAAAAAGACAGTACCAGGAGTTTCAAAGGGGGTGCGATCCATGGAGGTAGGAGGGGTGCCCATTACCCACTCACTGGATGGGACGAGCCACACCACCCGGTCTTGTGACCCCTGGTACAAGTGGGTGTACGTTTATATAGGCCTTTTCTGTTCTTTTGGCCTCACGTTTTGTGTTTTTTTCTCCAAAAAGATCAGAATGTGCTGCGAAGCACATTCTGCCACCGAAGCATTCCCCCCCTTTTCATATCCTTCTGAAGATGTTGGAACTCCTTTCTTTTGCACGTTTGCTTGATCTCATTCTGGACGCTTTCGGGGGCTCAGGACCGGCCTTCGGGCTGTCGAAAGAACGCCGCGTCCACCGCGACCGCGTCCACCGCGCCAGGGGCGAAACATGGCCCGGACCTTTCAGATTAAGGAGCGGTGGATTGCAGGGTGTGGCGGGAAGAAAAGACACACAATTCACAATTGTGGGGGATGTGTGGATGAGACAGGTGATTGCTGGAACGAGCATGGCGCCGGGATGGCCCCATGGCGACTCGGAGGCCGTCCGATGGTCCTCATGCCTAGCACAGCTCGGTGACTAGGTGAACTCCCCTGAACTGTTCCCAGGGAACTTCTTCGCTTCTTTCGACCAGGTTCGGTCCAGATTCTTTGAGCAGGTCGGCTGCCAGCGCAGCTGGCCCTGTGGCAACCCAAGAACCCACGGCAACCCGAAAGCTTCGGTTGATGTGTTCCTTTGGGTAGCTGGCGGGCGCGTTGGAGAGCTGCACTAGTGGGGGGGGGTCACAGTTGTTTAGCGAGATGCTTTTCTTTTTTCCATCTACAGCAATGGGTCCATGTGATGAAGTCCAACGGTCCAATGGTCTGAAGTCCAATTTGTTTTTGTTTATATGAGTTCGGGTGAGATTCGGATGACTGGTCTTCTCAGCATGACCCAGCAAGTGAGCCAGTGGAGGTGTTGAGGCTAAGGTCCGTTAAGGAGGATGCCATCACCCTCCTATGTGTTATGTTTTTCCTTTTTAAATCTATACTCATCTCAGAATTGGGGTTCTCTTCCGAACTTCCCCCCCCCTCCCAGACTCTTCGTCACCACAAGACCGCCCTTCACCAAAAACGCACCGGCCTCGGGTGGCCTCCAGGCTTTCGCCGCCCCGTGTCTTGGTTGCGCGCCCCCGGCGCTGCTAGGAGGATGTCATGGATCGCGTCCGTTTGGCGGTGGATCTTTGTTCCAACCTTCAAGGCTTCAGCTGTTTTGTGCCGGGTGGAAACGGGTCGGTTTGGACGGCTTTGTTTCGACGGCCGGTGCTTTGGAGCGGAGGAGGGTTGGTTAGGAGAGAAGATGAGAGAAGGAGCCAAAGCAAGAGAGATGTTGTCCAAATTTGTCCAATCAATAGTTAACGCGTTCACTCACTTCTTTCGTGTATGTGTTTTTGGTGGACAGTTGTCCTGTGTTCCACAGCAGGTGAACGGTAACTCATGACCAAGCCAGACGCTCTGTTCACCAGCCCGGCTGGTCCCTCAAAACCTGACGATTTGAGATCCCAGACCCCTCCAGAGGATTCTGGTCCCATCTCTCCCTATGAGTCAGGGTCCAGGAGCGCCTGGGAAGGATTCCAAGTGGGACCTGGCTTTTAGGACTCAACTGGTGCACGGAGGGAGCTGAACTTCAAGCGAGAGCGAGGGTATCCAGTTCTTCCATGTTCTTGCCGGGGACGACCCCGGAGCTGGATGGCCGACACCGGACCCCGGACCCGGTCGACCGACCTAACAGTATACTATATCGCGTAGTATCTCTCGCGAGGCTTCTTCGTGTTCCATTCCTTTGGCGGTGGTACTGGCTCGGGCCTGGGCTGCGATATTCTGCACGATTTGCATGACGCCTTTGACAAGAAGCCTGGCAGCGGAAGGGGGGGGACCAGGCGGACCTGGGATGACCACAAAAACATGTCAGGTGGTGGGACACTTGGCGGGGTCACAAATCTAAGCCTTCTTTTCTTGAGACACCCTCAACGGTTTTCTCAAAGTTGGGTGACCAGTTGGGTGTAGTTATAAGCTATAAGTCAGGATTAATAAACCCCCTCTAGTTAATCCGAGCCCACAAAGGTGTCGGAAATTGACCTCATGAGTGGTATCTCATGTCTTCTTGACCTTGTTGACCTACCCCCGGTTATTGATCCGGTCTTAACATAAACAGGTCTTAGACCCGAAACCAGAGCCTCTTGGAGCGGTGCTTAATGATTTTGGGGACACCGGGCTGTTGGAGGGAGAGCGAGGTGGTCAGGCTGTGATGAGGTGGTCGTGTCTCGGCAGATGAAAGGTCCAAAGTTCTTTGACCTTCCAATGGAAAAAAACATACGAATCTCCCGTGGTTTCTATGGATGTCTGTGGATATCTATGGATGCAACTTACTGATTGCACGTTGATCCTTACATGTACTAGCTATGAAATGCAGATGCCTTGTGCTTACAAAATTCAAACTGCCATTTCCAGGGGTCATTTTATATAGAAACATGTGTGCCATATGACAGGGGACCCTGGAAAGATAAGATCATGTAGGAGAGGGAGGTGCATTTTATTAAACAAAAATACAGGTTCCAGAATATGGATGCCTTATGACATTGACCGGAGTGTGCCTGAAGTATTGTCATTTTATAAAGTGTTGGTTCTAACATTTTATTGAGACCGCCTTGCAGATCATTTTATAGCAGCTGTTGTTGCTGTCAAGCTATTCCTACCCAAGACCTCCAAGACCTACATGGGTCGACCATGGGAAATGCGCCTCCATGAACTGGTCTACCTTGAGGAGGCCGCCGTTTTGGGCTCTCCATGTCGACCTCCTCTGAAAAATCATCACAATTTGATGTAATGTTTCTTCCAAGTGCCGCTGACTGTATATCCTACATACTCGTCTGACGCCTTGGACCTGGGCCCTTCACCATGCTCAGAGACCAGTTCATTCTCGTTCCCTGGTAGTCCTACCCGGTCCTACGGCATCGCCGGCCCTTCCGATCCCGACGTCGGCCTCCGGGTGCCGGCATCGCCGGCCTCGCCGCCGGCAGCGGGTGCAGGAAGGTGATCTTCCAGCCCGTGATCTATCCATCCCACAAGTTCTCCAGTAGCATTGTAGAGCCCTACAACTGTGCCCCTTGGACCGAACCTGAATGCGCCGTGCGTTGATGCACATGGTGAAGGATCCAGTGGACCGTCGCGTACCATATGGGGCCCTTCTGCACGCGTGGCGCACGCGTGGCGCACGCGTGGCGTACGCGTGGCGCACGCATGGTCGACTGCTAAATCACCAGGTCGTCATTTCAGAAGTGGAACCGGCCTTACATTCGGTGAAGATGAATGTGATGATCTAGACTGACTTTTTACCGGAAGCCATGCACAGAGCACCACATATTCCACCTCTTACATCCAAGTCATCCCAGAGGTTTGTTCTTGGACTCACCCACCAGCTGTGCACCAACCGTCACAACCAAGATCTTCTCCACGCACTACATGCGAGATGTGGCACCTCGTCATCCAATATGCGACGCCTCAACCAGCCGGGGCTTTACAGCGCTTTGCGGAATGGGCACAAGTTGACTGACTTGATTGTTACAGGGAAGTGTTTTTTGTTTATCTTTTTGTAAAGCATATCTAATGATGTCGCTTGATCTAGAACTAGAGAGGGCAGAGATCTGCGAGCTTTTGCTGATGGACCAGTGGCACAGAAACTCCTGGGTGTATGTCTGTATGACACAGTTGATGTTGGAAGTAGGATCTTCCATGTGTCTCACTACTCAGATCTTGGGCGGTTCTTCAGATCTTGGGCGATTGGTAGGCAGAGCTGAAGGTGTAGTCGACTCTGGGCTGGTAATCACTGGAGGTAAACACCCTCCCCCCTCCAACGTCCTCATGGAAGTGGACGTCCTGGCCTCCTGGAATACGATGTTCCATGATTTTCCGCTAGAGAAGCAGCAGGAGATGTGTTTTTCCACTTCCATGTTTGTGGGGGGTAGGATCCGGTACCCCATCTCCTGCATTTCACCCCTCGTGTCCGGACCACCAAACTGGCAGGACGGCTCTAACCCCCAGACTCGTCGGGCTTCAGTCGATCCGGGTCGTAAGGATCGGAGGATCCGGTGTCGTCGTGTGGGTCGAAGCGGATGAGGTCGACGTATCACTGATGCTGGACAACGAAGCGGCCTATCGTGTGTGCGAGAACAAGCTGCGCCTGTGATGGCGGTTGAAGGGCCGACGTTGGGTTGGGGGGGAAAGGTGATGACGGTTGGTGGTGAAGCATTGAATTATTGAATCATCCTGACATAGAATGAAATAGATGGGCCATTCTAAGAGATGCATAGGTTGAGATTGGTCGAAACTGATCATTCATCATGGCTTCAATGGCTGGGAAGATCAAGTCCCACCACCACCTCTGGCTCCGCAGCATTTCAACGTGCTTTGGGGAGTACTTCCCATGTGGTTCATTTCGGCTGCAAACCCGACGCTCCTCTAGCATCGGCCACTCCACCAGCTTCCTGTGAGGCTGAAGAGGCCCATGCACACCGTGGGACTCGGCTCGGCCCGAGGAACATCCAGCAACCCGACTTCGACAACGTGAACCGTTTGATCGCACAGTGCATCTCCGCTTGCACCACCTCCTTGCGCTTCGAGACGCAGTTGCTTGCCAACGTGCCAAGCAAGGCGGTGTTTTTGGAGGGGCCATGGATCGGGGCTCCAAGTGTATGTCTACGATATATAGTCGTTGCCATATATGTAGAATAGGTAGAGGAACTGACCCTTCAAGCCCAACTGAACCTTCAAACCCAACCCCCCCAACCCCTCAGCCATCCATACAGAAAAAACGAAAGATGCTGGAACCCTCCCAAAAGGCGCTCTCCCGCTGGAATGCGACGCGGCCCACTTGGAACCCTCAGCTGCAGCTGCAGCCTAAGTAAGGCTCCATGCGACGCTCATTGAGATCGTGACGAACATCGTCCCCACGCAGTACTACCGCTATCCCATCGTTTCCTTGGCGCCGGTCCGCGCCAGTGGCTTGGAGTTGAGGGTTGGAGTTGCGGACGGAGTGCAACGGGACAATTCAACGATGACAGCGACGTACGTAATGGAAACGTTGCCAAATATGATAATGTTAATGTGTTGCTGTTTCTGTTCAGAACTTTTTGAAGATATTCTGAAAATAGGTGGGATGTAGTATATCTGTGAATATATTGAATATGGTCTAAAGACTCAGTAACACCTGGTCCTTTACCTCATTGAGTACCGTAGCTGCTTAATCTTCAACTCCAGTAAAATGAGGTTCAACATGGTGCAACTAACCTGTGGTAGGGCCGAAGAACAGCATTTCATGCGCTAAAAGGACTGGTCTCGTCCTGGTGCCGAGTGGGCCCTGAAACAAAGGTTCGAGTCCGTAAGCAGCAAGAGAGATTGATGTGGGAATGCGGAGCGAACCTTCGGATGAGTGGATGAAGTTTATCTACTATCCCTTATCTCATCCGGTGCTTGAGAAAGCGGATGTTTTTGGTGCGCAAGCAAGGCACAGATCTAATCATGCCTTCCACAGATCTAGTTCCCCTCAGAACTCTCAATTCTCCTTGCCATCGATTCAGTCACCCGTGTAGACCATGAGGAGACAAGGAGGCGCATGAGACCTTCGTAGAGGAGGAGATTGTCACAGAGCTCTTCGAATCGAAGAATGCCGCTTCGACATGGTTCCGACGAATGTCGAGGGGGTCACGGGACGGTCGAAGAGACTCGCTCCGGAGAGTCCTGGGACGTGAGACGTCACTGCAACCGGAAATGGAATGGATGGATATGGTGCATGGAGATTCGAAGCTGTTTTAGCATTCTTCAGTATTCTGTTGAGGTTCTTCAAACCCAATTCAACTGATGTGTTAAGCGCAGTAAAAAGAACCACCACCGCCCCACCGCCAGCGCCGCGGAGGGCGGATGAAACCACGGCACCGCCACTCGGCGGGTCCGACACTCGGCACGCATCGGCGGGTCCGACAGCGACGCAGGTCCTGTGCGACGTGACGCATCTGCGGCAAAACCGCTATCTCTCGGCGGTGCCTCGGCCGGTGAACGGAACCCCGACCCGTGGTGAAAAGGAGGCGTGGCGTTCATTGTAAAACCCCGTTGGTCAGGTAAGAGGACTCATTGAAGTGCCAAAAATAGAATGACTTTGTATGAAATTGGGTGGATAGAGATTCAAGGTGGCCACACTACTTGTATTTAGCAGTTGTCAAGAAGAAACTTCAGAAGGCCTGATTCTTTTTGCTTTTTTTGAAGAGGCATTTTGAGATGATGAACCAACAGTTTCATTGACAAATTGAGGTTCAAAAACACAAAATCATCAAACATTCAAATTATGAACACATCACAAAACGAGTTGTTTTTTCTTCATGTTCACCTTTGCTTTTGGATGCCATGTTTTTCTCATTTGGCTTCTTTGAATCAGGGCACACAGGGTTCGGCTCAATCACCTACTAAGTTCCAGGTTGGTTTGACTATATAGATCTCTGGAAAAGCATACTTTACTTTGAGAACCCCAACATGGTGTTTATACTCTGATGATAACCAACGGCTATATTTTGCTTCAACGTCACCAAGAAAGTGTTTGTTTTGCCTTTATGCAGGCATTTTTTCAGGCGATCTGTGTATATATACATATGTACATATTTAGGCCAGGCATTCTATGTGGTATATATTGTGGCATTCTATCTAATTAGCATATATATATATATACATACATATTCGGGCATTCTATTTGGCCAATATGTTCCCAGTCTATCTGGCATATTTTCTGATTCTGACATTCTATCTTGGATATATTCTGGCAATCTATCTGGGACATATTCTTGCATTCTATTTGGCACTCTGTCTGACATACTTTCTTGCATATATTTTGGGCCGGAATGTCCCAGCCCACCCAGGTAATTACCAAAAAGGCGACATGAAACATGTCATTTGTTTCCTTTTGTTTCATCTTCTAGCACCACCCAGCTTGGTGGGGTTTTGTTGGGTGGTTTATGATGGATGGTAAACACATGGGATCCGGGGGGCCATTCCACAAACCACTCCAAGTGGTTGGTGCTTGGTTTTTCCGCTTCTGTCAGTCTCACAAACCCTTGCAACTAGTTTTTATTCCAGTTGGTTTGTGATTTCTTGTTTCGTTCTTGAGGCCTTCTTCGCTTGTCAAAAGGGTGCTTCGGTACCAGGTGGTGCTCCTGCGCGGCATCGGCAGCCCGCAGAAGGAGAAGTCACGGGACGGCAGCAAGGACGAGCTCAAGGAACGCCCTGTTGAGGCACGCCAAGAGAGAAATGTCAGGATTTGACACCATTCTATGTGGGGAGTGAAGTCCGGTAGGCAGGTCCTTTGATCCAGTAAAGGCAGGACATCAGGGACTCTCCCCACAAGAAAAGCCACCACCATACGATTGTGTTTATTTATATTTGGTTCTTACATGTTCTGTGAAAGACCAGTGATCTCCATCTGAAGTTCTCGGATGTTTGGTCGTTTGAGTCGGGGGACTGGCGTGGGTGAGGCCTTGCGGGTATGTTCGGTCGGGCTTCGGCTTTGGGCGCTGCAAATAGGAAGATCTGAGAAGAAGATGGAAGAAGTTTGCGCAAGCTTGCTGGATTGATGTGGATTGGTGAAGGTTGGTGAAGGTGCCATCCAGAGTGGGATCAATAGACAGACTTCCTTCCACTAGACTAAGGCAAGGAGAGCAACTTCTCTTGCTGGGTTTGTTTGTTTTTCTTGTTGCTGGGAGATACCGTGGTAGACCTCAGGGTGGTTTCGATATGCTTCGGTCTCATACCCTATACCCATGAAGGTCAACGGTGTTTGCAGAGACCATCAGCAGGTTGCCGCAAGGAAACAGGAGAAAAAGTAACAAAGAAAAGGTCCAAGAGACCTTTTGGTGAGCATCCTACAACTTAACATGAGAACTCGTGCTGCTGAAACTCCTCCTTCCATGGCTAATTAGCTCATTCTCCTCAATATCCGGGAATGACGGACAGGACTCATTCTGCTCCCTGAGATTCTTGTTCGCTCCGGGGCTATGCTCAAGCTCCGACCTCGATGCCTTCACAACGTCGTCGTACATAACTGGTGCTCGCTCCGCGCGGTGTTTTTGCAGGCGAACCATGTGATCACGGCGCTGCACTCGCTGAAGGACCAAGAAGGGGAGATTTCGAAGAGGGTGTTTCTGTTGGAGGGTTTCCATGAAAGACTGGCCAGTGGTGGTTCGAGGGGTTGGGGTCCAAGTTGCTGATTTGACTGACTTGCTAGTGATTTGCTGGTGGCTGGCGCTAGCAGGTGATGTAATGATAGAATGAGGCTTGGGGTGACCAAGCGAACAGCAAAGGAGAAAGAAGCAGGGATGTCCAAGATAGAAGCAAGGGGCCCAAACCGAATCCAGTTTTCAATAAAAGGGGATTTTGATCCAAGTTTCACTGATATCCCATCCACTAAGAAGATGTTCATCCTTTACACTCCTGAAAACTAACTATGGACCCTGTGGTTTTGACACCCGGGTCGTCCGACAGTGTCCTCCGCAGTCGCCCTGACTCCCCGTCGGTCTCGGTCTCAGGATGGCACGCACCGTTCGCCTCTGAAGTTTGCTCCCTGGATCCAGTCCGGCTTCAAGGCCCGGGCGATCGGAGCGAGAGCCAGGTCCGGAAGAGCATCGAAGGTCGACTGCAGACTGCAGGGCGCTGGGGAAGGGGAGGACTCCAAGCTGGTTGGAAGAACCTCCAAAATGGAGGTTCAATCAGCTTTGAATGGTTTTTCATTCTTAAGGTGAGCACCGCAAGAAACCTCCCAAGATGAACTAATTAAAAGCCTTGAACTTGTCATATGGAACTTGGGCGTAAGCAATAACCTGAAAAGCGTAAGGTTGTGTAAGGGAGTTGTGAGACATGCATGTTGCGTAAGCTTGCCATATGGTTGTATTTTCACCTGCAAAAGGAGCCTTCACGTAAGCATTTGCCTTGGGAGTATGGTTCTCATGTGTGAAAATACAGATGCTTAAGATCTGAGTAATGTCTTCTCCAACATCCGTGGAGCGTAAGCTCACATTGTGGTCGCGTAAGAAAAGCGTAAGCAGGAGCGCAAGAAAGTTATATACGACATAGGGGTTTAATCATACGTATTTTGCACAGCTCAGGTGATTCCAACGGTAGGAGAAGTCTTCAAACATGGTGCCCCGTGGAGAAACCCCAGTTCGTTCCACAAATCTGGGTCATTTGATCCCCTGTTCTGTGGTTCTGATAGCTTGATGTCTGGACCTTGACAGTATACCCGTATTCGGCACCTGGCCCTAACCAATTCGATCGTAGATACTGCCCGGCTCAGCGCACTGTGCCTCACTCCTGAATGGACGCTCCTCGACCGCTTGACCCCTTGAAGCCGCGACAGAAAAAAGAGAAAGGGAGATATTGCATGGTGAATGTCCACATTGCCTCGACTTTGAAAGGAACTTCAACCTCGGAACCTCTTGCAGCCCCCTGAACTCTGGAACATGAACCCTAAGAAACAATTCTATGTTGCCTTTTGAAGAAATCCCAACTTTTGCGCACCTGAAACCCCATCCAAAACCTCCAACCCCCCCCCACAGTCCTGAAAGTTCGGTGTTTCCACCAGCTCTCAGCAGCTGTCAGCAGCTCACCAGGTGGGCCTCGTGGGCGTGCCGCCCTCCACCGTGCCGGGCGACAAAGTCATGGCCCAGACCAAGCGCCAGGGGGCGATGCTGGGCCCCTCGGAACGCGGACAGCGTGGCCGAAGACTCGGCTCGGCCCGGCGCGATACCGATCGGGCGGAAGAGGTGGCCACGGACTTCCCCGCGGAAGTTTTTGGAAGCAAAAAGCCGTGGCCGTGGGTGGTGCAGCTCCTGAAGTGAAGATGGAGCAAAGCAGGAGTTCAAAGAATCGTATGGCACTGAACTCATTGGAAGATCTTCTTGGCGCCCAGATCGGTCGGTCATCAATCAGGACGTCGTTCACAGGTCGACCTCGTGATCCACACACGTTCGGACGGTGTGTTTCGCTGATCCTGTACGACCAGGGGAGGTCTCAACAGTTCAAAGTTTGTGAAGTACTTATTTACCCATACACTCCATGGGACTGGCATATTTTCCGATCAATTGGGGTGTTGGAAAAGGGGTCGTATGTAAATACGCCAGTCCCATTAGTCGTGTTTGGGTTATATATAGTTTGTGTTATAGGGAAAATGCTTGTGATGTATCTTGCAGAACAGTTATATGCTGGAACCTGCTGGACCTGCCACTCCCTCCGTCTAAGAGAGCCTGTCCATCTCTCACCGCCAAACCCAAACCCATGCCAGGACGCAAGTACATAGACCTCCACTGTTTGTCCCGGAGATCCCCCGCGCTTGCTCGTTCAATTGGGGACCTCCCTCCTCATCGCTCGCAGCGATGGATCCACTGGAGAAATGAAGGTCGACCCCCCCCAGCAGCCGGGTAACACTCCCATGACCGATGGGGACTGGATCCAATGTGCCTATAGCGATCGTTGCATTGAATTGCTATAGCTCAATCGGATCGTGGGAAACCATGTGGCTCTTCTTGAAATGTGGTGCTGAAGAGGTGTGCAACTCCCACTGAAGTTGAGGAATGAGAAAGAACCGTGTGTCACACATGTTCCATGGAATGGTATGTCGCACATGTTCGGAGGACGTCTCAATGTTGCTTGCTGCTCCCAAAACCGACATGTCCTTCACAGCGAAGCCCCTTTCGATTCTCTTTGTTCCAACCAGAAAACTCTATAGAGTCACACACACAAAAATAATACGCCGCATGGCAGTAGTTCCATGCCGAAGGAATGGATCTTGGCTCAGCCTGAGGAAATAGCACGGCGGTGCGGCAACTCTTTGTCCGGCAGTATACCAAGCAGCTTGGGCGATCTTGATCTGAGGGAAACACCCTTTCGCTGTGAGTCGTGGCACCAGGATACTGACTATGTACACCCGCTCCGAGTTTTTGGGACGAGACCTGCACTTTAATGGTTGATTCTCGTTTGCGAAGAGTTTGTGAGGCTTTCGTAGTGCTAAATACAGCTTGCCAGGACCTTCTCAGTGACCTATTTGGAGTCCCATCCCACCTTTTACACGCCTGTTTGTGACCGTTCGGTCACCAGGGGATCAAGTTCGGTCACTGGGAAACTTCCAGCTTGGAGGTCTTTTCGAACCCCAAACTCTCCGGATCGGGGCGTCCCCACCGTCCGGTGCGACCGACCTGCGACGGTTGTGGAATCCCACCCAGCAACGGTGCAAGTGTCCTTCATTGGTTCACTTGTCACCCTTCAGGTTTAACCTCGCGTTGGATCGACCTTGGCGTATCCAAGAAATGACGCAGTCAGCCCGCCATGTCAGATCACACTAGTTCAGGCGAAAGCTTATCCAGCTCGCAGGGCAAAGCACGTAATTACAGAACACAGGGCCTGCTGGGGAGCGGGAGGATGCTGGACTGCACTCTCTCAACCGCCGACAGTTGCAACAATTAAGGCAGCAACAAGGCAGCAAAAACACGCCTTAAGCCACTTATGATTGTCAGGAGCTATATGTATAAATAACAAAGTAGTCAGCAATTGGAGGGATTTGCCCACTTCAGGCAAGGAACCCCAAAGAAGCCCTTATGATTCATGATTGTCAACTCGCTTGCTCCAGTGTTGCGTTGTACAACCCAGCCACACTTGGTGACCGGAACCTTCAGGTTCTTGAAGCTCTTTTACCGTCGGGCCTACGTCTGGCAGTTTCTCGAGGCCAACGGGGAGATTGACTCCTTCTATGTCCCTTGAACCTCACCGCGTCCGCGTGTATCCGCGTGTGAAAACATCGCGTGTTCATGCGTGTTCTTATTTATCTATTTGTTCGGAGCATATTTGAAGCACCCCAAGGTTGTTGCAAAACATGTGGAAGCACAAGTGTTGTGATCGCAAAAGTACTCAACAACACCTGGAATGTTAGGGTGAGTGGAAAGTCTGGCAAGGTGGCAAGCATTAACTTGCTGGCAACTATAGCATACTAAAGCGCTTGTTTTGAAATCACTGGGACGAGTGAGCAACTCAAACTGGCAGTTGATACGTGGATCTCCCTCGTTTTATGTTTTTCAAGCATGAGGCAGATGACAGACAAATATATCACAAATATATCATTAATATATCAGCAAGATTAATTCGTAGAACCATAGCCTCCACAGATCTAAAATCGGACGCCGCAGACCGGCTGCATTGTACTAGACATGTGTGAAGATCGTTGAATCAGTGGGATGAAAAAAACCTGAAAAAAGAACCTTCTGACGGAAAGAAGACCATCCCGAACGTTCTGAATCCTGAAGATGTCCAAACCATGGTGTTTTTGGTCCGTGGCTTTGCAAAACCCATCGCTTTTTCGAAACAAAAACGACCCTCGACCCGACCACGTTCGACCGACCGAGGACGCCCGCGACGGCGTGCGTGACATCATCGGCCACTACGAGGAGCTGCTGCAGGAGTGCGTGCGTGTGGAGAACGAGAAGTACGACGCTCGACTCGCCGAGGGTGAACGGTTGGCTGTTTTTTGGGTTTCTTTCGGCCTTTGGTTCGGATGAGGGTTCAGGAGGTTGGAGCGCTTTTGAATGCTTTTGGAGGCTTTTCGGAGTGAGAAAAAGCGCACCCAACGAGAACGTTGTTGCTAGGCCAAGAACGTCGGACGTCGTGTTCGCCGAAAAAGCGACTGGTCGCAGGAGACTGGCTTGACAGGATGACCCAACAGAGAATTGGGGGTAGGTGAGTGAGAAGAGGCTGAACATGTAGCAGGAGACTCCAACATATGTATGTGATGTGACATGGAGTGCACTTCAAGAAAAATGGACCATACGTATCATAGGCTTGTAGACTTGTAGAAGACAACACGCCACTTCATGACTTGTTGATGTTGGGAATACAGATTGGAAGCCTGGGAACGATGGTGGAAACATGTGGAAACTCTTTGGCCGGCTCCCCATAACTTGAAGGTCTGGGAACCCGAAGCGGAGCCCGGGAACTTGAGTCCAGGTGTTCAAGCATGCGCAACAGGGTCTGTCTCTGAAGCCTGTCGCTAAGGATGGCAATACCGTTGTGAAGCTCCAGGGTGCCACGCGCCGAGGTTCAACAGAAGAGGTTCAGCTTGGGAGAGGGATGACCCTCCACTGGCTTGTTGGTTTCCTTACCTGCTTGTGGCCCTTGTGGCTTGAGAAAAGTCTAGTATTCGTGTACTAAACGCCAAGTCGATACCAAATAGGCATGTGTTTTCTTGCTTTTGGATTCCTTTGCAGCCAGGCCAAATGGTGAAAAACGGCTCAATCGCCGTGTCCAGTCCTGGAAACACTGCTACTGCTCGATGTCTTCAAGGGATAGACGATTTTTCTTACATCACCTGCCAGAAACAACCCCTTTTCGCGCTCGTTTCTGTAGGCTGAATCGGTTTCTGAAAAAATGCATCTCGCTGGGTCGGTTCGTTTTCGCGTTGATGCACGGATCACTTGAAGAAGACCCGGTCCTTAGCAGCTGAATCGCTTGAAGATGAATCCCAAACATGACCGATGGCGGGACTGGAATATATGTCGCCCCATGTATTGACCCCTTTTCATTTCTAAGACCCAGTCCCATGGAGTGGGGAAATAGACTCCAAATGACTTGAAGCTGGGGATGGATGGGATGGGTCGTGACCCACCTGTAGCGAGCGAGTTCGACCGACACCAGGTAGGGCGTGCCCGGAGGGACTGACGGTATCCTGAAGTCCCTACCAAAAGGGAGCCGTTCGGAGCGGCACAGCAAGTTCCCAAACCACTTGCATGGTAGGAATAGACAAGTAACATGGAGTTTATTTAAGCCATTAAATTATCTTTGCACTATAGATTCCATGAATCCCAAGTCATTTGTCTCCACACACTTTTCAGTGGCAGTTTTTGGGAATGACGGCCGCCAGCAGCCCCTTCGATAGAACACCGCGCAAGCGCGCGGCCATTTCCGGTACGGGCTGAGCCTGCACTAAGGATGCCCAATGATCAGCCACCGCGGGGTAGCTGACAGGGTCTCTCTGCATGTTGAGTGCATTGCTGCTCTGAGGGAAGGGGGGCGTGGTTGACGTGCATCAATAGCAAATACTCTTGCAAACTCTTGCAGATGGAGTAGTTTTGAAGAGGAACAAATAAGTCACTTCTGCCAAGTCACCAAAGGGAGATAGGGGGAGATAGAGGGGAGGTGTAACAACCTCAGAGACTTGGATCTTCCCAGTGACCCTTCTCTTTCGATCCCCTGGTTCTTTTGGGCCGATCACATGTACGACTCCAAAAGGCTGTCCCGGTCGGGATGACTGACGGACCTGGGGATGTGAGTGACATGGTCTCTGGTGAACGTGGAGCTGATCGAATAGATGACCGAAAAGATGACCCGTTTCTCATTAGCTTTGGGATTTTTCCGCTATTTACTCCAGGATGACTCTATTTAGAGTTCTGAACCGATATTATTGCACACATATTATGTTATATCCGGAACACATCTGGCACTTGGCTTGGTACAAATTATGGTTCTTTGGCAAACCTTGCTTTGAACCTCAGCCAAGTGGAGCACTGTCACTCGCAAAGGATCGAAGCACTGTCACTCGCCGCGGGGCACCGTACGGTTAGGAGCCGGGCGCGGATGGGAGCACCGTACCGTCATGCGTGGTGTTAGACGTGCAGTGCAAGGAACACTGCTGCGTTTTGTACAATAAGTTGGATCCCGATCCAAGCCAAGTGCTGATATCTTGTGTTCACCTAGGACTCCTAGGCTACTAGGACATCCTACAACCTAGATTCACGGTATTTCACCCTTTAGGATCCTTTAGGCAAGAAATTGGAACTGCGATAGCTTTGCAGGAATGTGTCAATCATGTGATTCCTTGGCTGTATGTACTGTATGTATGTCCATCAATTGGTCGTTCTCAGGTACCACGGAACGAGGACAGAGAATGACAGGGAGTAAGCGACAGGGAATAGGGAGAACTTCTCGTTTTCGGATTCAGGTCAACCACAGTGGTAACGGAGCATCGTTTTCCAGCTAAAAAATGATCGATGAAGAGACGTGATCGATGTACAAAGCATGCCATTCGATCGGAGCAGAAGGTGGGGGAAGAACAAAGAAAAACAGGTGCCATAGAAGTTCCTGATGTTGAAGCCAACTCCCTCATCTCCTCATTCTCAGTGCCATTGTCATATTCCAGGATCAACAAAAAACACAGTCTTAACAGGGAAGGCCAAGCGAGTCCGCTTGTTTTTGCACGGTAATCTCCGCGGTCAGTTTCTAAGGCGATGATTGGCTTGTAGTTTTGTCACTCGACGGCGTTGGGTCCAGGATCTGCAGTCGGTTTGAACTCGCTGATGAAGTGGCTCAGTGGGAATCACAGGTGTTTGTCATCCCGTGACTCTCACATCCGCAAAACGAACAGACATTGATTTGTTTGTTATCTAAATGGAATTCATGATTGGTGATTCTCAGTGTATCAGTGTATCCCAGTTTCTTCAGAATAAGTGAAGTCACGGATGCAGGTTCGAGCTCCATGAGAACTGCATGAAGTAAGCAGAACATCACAGCTCCATGAGAACTCGATTCTCCTTTGTCGCTTCGTCACGTGGCGACTTCGCCCGTTTCACGACCGGAGCACCGGAGCGCAGAAGCCGTTTCTCACCGGAGCACGGTGGAGCCGTGAAGCGCCACAGAGCGACCTGCTGGCGGTTTTCGGACCGGTCTCGGTGTGCCTGGTGCGCCTCCACGGGGTGCGCGGTTAAGGCTTGTAAGGCTCGGAACGCGAGTTAGGTGGTGGTGTGTGTTTCTCCGAACGTTCGGACCGCGACTGGTTGACCGATCGACCTGTGCTCGTTGGGGTTCGACCGTTCCACAGCGGCATCGAGCATCATCGAGCGGTGCAAAAAAAAACCAGGACGACAGGGTCTCGCCAAAAGGTTTCAGTTTCTTCAAACTTGGAGAGGTTTCAAGCCACAGAGGGATGTTATGAGATGTTTGGTTTCCATGAGTTTTCCGGTTTCCGAAAGCCTAGGCCTCAGTTTCTTTAGAGGGCTGGACCAAGAAGAGTAAAGCAGAAGTCGAGCATGAGGGAGACGGGAGCATGCAGATTCACGTTATCTTACCAGAACCGAAAGCTGGTAGTCAAGAAGTAGAAGCAGGTGCCAAGTTTCGGACTTGCAGGAGGAGTTGATTTGCTTTGACCGAAAGCTGGTGCTTGGTCAATTCCCTTGGTCATCTCCTGGAGCAACTTTTTTGAAAGTGTCTTTGCCTGCGCGCTCCTCTTTGTGCAGAGTCTCTTCACTCTCATTGCTTCTCCAGAGTTCCTTGGCACAGACTTCTCCAATCAGACCGCACCTGTGTGGCGCAGTGCTGCGCATGATGTCCGAAGTCGACCTTTCAAGAGCTTGGCGACCAGGATGGATCTTTGATCTACTCCACTGCACAAGCCACATTGCTCAGCAGCATCAACAGCTATCTTGGTCTTGGAAGACTTGGGCCAGAGGCATGTTCTGTGACATCCTTCCAACCAGGTGTGCTGCTGGCAGTGCTTTGCGTTCTCCTTGGATCATTTGCATCGTCAGTTGCGGAGTGTGTGGTATGTCTTACAAGCTGTCTTGTTTGGCCACATGGGGACGAGTGGCGCAGCCCAAGTCCGTGAGGGCGGTTGAAGCATGCTGACACGGATGGCGGTATGCTCAGCCTGCTATGACCTTGGTATGCCTTGGCGGCGGAGCAACGGTGGCGTCCGTGCACTCTTGGTGTCAGGAACCTTCTGGCTATCACGCACCGCCTCCAGCTTATGCTCAACTGTGTAGCGCGCCTTTGGCAGTGGTGCACGTGGATGAGTTTATCTTCTCTGCCTTCGTGCCCACACAGCTTCAGCAGCAAATCCAAAGGTTGCCTCTGCAGTCATGATGAAGAAAAGCAGTCTATGGACTCGGGTGGAGAACCTTGTTCTTGCTTGTTGCTGCATGCCTTCTGATGTTAAAGCATCAATAATATTTCCATCGCGAACATCAACAGGTCGAGGCTCGATGCTTGCAAAAGAAGCAGTCATCTGGTGAAACCACCTGGGACCGGCGGTATGAGGTGGACCGGACAAATCTGGGACCGGCTTCACGGGGTCTCTGAACTGGATTTCAGGCTTATGAATACGCCGGCATCTGTCCGCTAGTGGGCACAATCACCTCAGAGTATTGAATACTATATAATACAATGCTATTCTGGTCACCATGATAACATATATTATGATAACCACGAGCACACAGTACGACATGTCCCATGTTTACACTTGTTCGCAGCAAGCACTGAAGCACCGTCTCCACTTTGCAGATGTTGGGGGTTGGTTTACTATTCTTTAGAGGTTTGGCTGAATTTTTATTGTCAAGACTTCTTTGGGGCTGCCTAATTTTTGCAGGGAAGTAGAGATGAAGGCTGGATGCCTCCCAAATTGCGCTGTTCCGAAGGCATCACCCGCTGACACTGACCTTTTATATGTTTTTCATCATGTTTTTCACAGGTGGAATCCACTTCTTGAAGTGGTGGGGGAGGTCCCTCTCCCAAGCAACGACCTAAAGACCCAGGGTTGAACGACGGCTGTCACCGCAGCAGTTCATGATCGCATTGCTGGTGGACACCGAATTTGAAAAATGATTTATTTGCAGAAATGGCCGCGGACAGAGTTCTTGGCAAGCGCGAAAAAAACAGATTGCTGGGGGATGATTTTTGACTTCAACCAGCATCGCCTGACGTGCAAAAAGACGTGCATGGTTTGTTGCCGCAACCGCGCGCATCGCCATGGATGAGAGTGAAGAACGCCGAGAGGCGCGACACATCGCAGCGCTGCGCTGCGCCCGCGCAGGGTACGGGTGGGCGAAAAAGGCTTTGGGCGAGGGATTGGACGGTTGAAAACAGAGCAAAGGTCTTCTCTAAATCAATTACTAAGATGTCTGAGTAAGGCCCTGGGCAAGGGATCAAGCTGGCACATGCGACGTTGAACTTGACACATTTTTGTTCCAACTCCGGGGGATGGCGCCAGCAGGAACCTTTTTGTGGTGACACTAACTAAAACTAAACAGCAGGCAGTTGACACCAATTTTCACCTGATATGTGATGTTTTGCTCAGTGTCATGATTCATCAGCTGTTTCTTGGGAGTTTGTTGGCTTAGGGGAGAACCCCGCGGCCTGCAGCGCCTCCAGTCCACAAACAGGAAAACCAGGTCATTCAAGGTAGCCATGAAGGCCAGCAATCGTGTTGAGTGCTTGTAGGTCGCTTGAAGGTCCAAATATTGAGAAGCATGATTTGCATATCACCCATCATATTCCCAGTATGTGAGTTTTTCCCTTCTAGCCCATCTTGCATTGGGTATCCAAGCGGGGTGCACATCCAGCTTTGCACGATTCTATTCACCTACTTGGACCCCCACAGCTGGTCCAAAACCACAATTGGTCATTTGTCAGAAGAACTCTGGATCTCTGCGAAGTCCATCGACTGATCTGTCTTGTTTCCGATTGCGCACGAAGAATGCTGGCAGGACCCCCGACGGATTAGTCGAAAAGAGATGGAACCCGACCAAAACCGGTACGGAAGCTGCCGCTGAGATCGTAGGCTGCCGCACCGGACCGCGGAGCGTCGTTCGCGGCAGTCGGAGGCGATGGAGATTTTCTCGGAGATCTCAGGGTTGTTGAACACCGGCCTCAAGCAGGAAGCGAGATGACGCGAGCCGCTAGGCGTCATGATACGGTCTGGCTTTTTGAGATGACAATAATAAGACTCCCAAGCTCGATTCGGGACTTGAGATGACGATGAGGAGGAGGATGAGGATGAGGATCAGGATGAGGAGGATGATGATGATGATGCAAAACTTCGATATTGTTTGACTCAAGTTTTGGTTCTACTCCTCCCAAGAGGAGATCAAAGGATCCAACAGTCCTAGTGAGGATCCCAACTGTCCTGGAAACCTGTTTGAGGCAGTCAGGGAGTCCAATGGAGATTGGGGCACTTCCCAGAGATGACCCCTGTTTGCATAGGAAGTTTGACCATATACTTTTGGTGTTGTTGGTGATGCAATAGTTTGAGGTCTAGGTAGACATATCGACCCAATATCGATGTTGATCCCGGCTGCGTCGCATCCGCGACCAGGAGTCCCTGGCTGCGCTCGTCGGGCTTTGTGAGCTGGGCGTGAACCCCGAGGCCGGGTTGCGCAACCCGGAGGCCCAGCGTTGCAGGACCATCCATGAGACCGGAAGAAGTTTTATGATGCTTGATGTGTTCATTTGTTGATTCAATGAGGTTTGACAATCGAAATGAGGGACAATGGGAGGGATTTATTCATCCGCAGTTGTACCCCATGATTTCATGACCCATCCATGGGAACGCAGCTCGTCCGGTCCCATGTATGGTCTGGGACTGTGTGATCTCCACACCCCGAAAAACCGCGGGCAGTTCGCGCTTCGCGCCGGCGGCCACCGCGGGAGGCTTTAGCCCAGGTAGTGAAGGACCTTCGGGCGGAGAAGAAGCAGATGAGCGAGGTCGGGCGGATGGTGCGTGTGAGATCATGCGACTGTGAATTGGTTTCAGGTCCAAAGAGAAGTGGAAGATCTGACAGACTCAGGGGATACCAAAGCTCATGGTGAAGCAGCTAACCAGCTAAGTTGAAATGATTTAATTTTGGAACATCACATCATGTTTTGCACCAGCTAACCAACTTGTGCACGTCTTGGATGTGATGAATTACGTCCCTCTACAATCGTCTTTTCGGACTTTTCGGGACCGAAGAGCGGCATCATGGCATCCTTCGCCCCCAGAAGTCTTGTTGAGTACATGTTGGTTCATATGGTTCATAGGGGTGTAGACATTCCCAGACCATTCATGGAACTGGAAGATTTTACGCAACCATGGGAGGTTCACCCCATGAATGTAGCTATTCCAGACGGAAATGGTAGGTGAAGCCCATGGCTTCTACGGTCGATCCGGTCGATCCGGTCGATCCAGTGAGCTGTCGATCCAACAAGTTGGAGGCTCCCCCGGCTCCTGAGTTCCTTGCGATTACGGTCTTGCGGTCTGAACCGATTGATTCTACCAGTGAAGTGCTACAAGGTGCATTGAACCTGAGATCTCGGCGTCAAACCTACATGGAGAAGAAAGGACGTAAAAGGTGTCTCAGATCACTTTGGGTTTGTTTCAGCAGCAGGCCCTCCGAGACTTCCGGAGTTCTTTGTTGATGGAATTAACAACAAAACAAAAAGAACTCCTGAAGTCTTCAGAGTTCATCAACAAAGAACTCCTGAAACGGCCCACGAAAAGTTCCAGAATTATGCAACAGTCAAGTCACATGGAGGCCATGAAATGAGTGATAGTCTTCTTTATATTATATATACAGAAGGTCCTGGCTTCCTGGCCGCTATATGACTATATTTAAGACCCGCTTAAGGAGTATGACATGCGGTGAAGTTCACCTGGAGATGTGAACACCACTAAGTCAAGCATGCCAGGAGTCACAAAGGGGTGGTGTTTAGTCCCCAAGTGAGTGGATGTGACAAGGGCACCCCGACTTCCTCCATGGATAGCACCCCGTCTTGTGACTGCTGGTGTGTTGATTTTACATTTCTTTGACACAAAAAACATACATGTAAAACAAGACCCAGTCTTGGTCCAATGGACATGTTTCTGCTCGTGTCTCAGACCACCCCAGGCCACAGACACACCAGGCCAGCCGCGCTCAGACCTTCTCCGCTCTCGCAGGCGGACGCCCACGTTCCGGACGTTCCGGGACCGGCCTCCACGGGCGACCGGTCGCTTCAACCAGCTCCGCGGTCGAGCCGAAAGGCCTAGAGGGATCCGAGATCTTCTTGTGTGGGACGAGTCGATCACAGATGGGTCCCGGCCTTCCAGGCCAACCTAAAGATTTCATCCACCAGACCCAGGGATCCGAGACGAACATGGGTTTTGACGATGACCCAATGCTGACGATCCCCGGCAGAAAAACCATATATAGAGTGTATTTTCGGAACCAGGGTTTCGTTCGGTCTACCGTTTGAGTCTTTGGAAGCACTGGTGACCTACGAACTCATGGTTTGCCTGGATCCAGGGGGTTAGAGTGATTCGAGTATACAGTATTGATGACTCAATGGGCATGCAGCGATGGTGTATGTGGTTACAACGAGTTACCCAAAAATAGAACATTGCATGCTTGGAATGATACTCTTATACAGTTACATGCCAGATACATGTCCATTGGGGGGGCCGTCCGGATCAGTTGGGACGCTTGAAGGGTCGGTGGCAGAGATTCCACGGAGCCTTTTGGGGCCAAAGGGTTTCTTTTGAGGCGCTTAAAGACTTGGACACAGACCGATTGCTGCAGAATAACATATAAGTCACGGAAAGGACAGATGTGTGAAATTGTGTGAAAATGGTTTCATCTGAGAATTTCAAGTTGCTTCATGTCGACGAGGACTTTCGTCGATGATCGGACGTCTCCAGATGTTGAGGTGATGTTTGGTGTTGTGGCACCTCGTGGGGCACCGGCAACAATTCCATCGTCCACCATGTATAGACTCTTTTTCTTTCTGTTTCAAAGCATGCACTCATATAGCGGCACAGTCTCACCGTAGAAGAGGATTTACAATCTATGTCGGGGGGGGCTTATGAATCAAGAATCTACATTGCGTCCGTCCACGGCAGCGGTCGCTCGTTCGAGTTCGAGTTCAGCGTTCGCTCGTTCGAGCTGCAGTCGGATGGATCCAAGTGAGTGCAACGGTGCAACGGGGAGTGTCCGGCGAGATCCCGAAAAGAGGGGCAAAAAGGCATGAAAGGAGAGAAGTCGGAGGGATGAAAAAGAGAAGGTCCACAAAGACGAGGGTCTGGACAAGTTCGCAAAAAAGTGGAAATCGAAGCATTTCATGCTGGGATGAAGATTATTTGAGCTTATTAGCCGAGTGGACACTGCAACAACTGCTGCCTTCCCGGCATTCAAGTTTTTTGCGGTTAGCCATATTTTTCACGACTCTAATTAAGAATTAGAGCCCATTCTGAAAAGGCAGGAATTCGGTACAATAGTCAGTGTCCAACCACGATGGAGGCACCTTCAAAGTGCCCTTTCGGGGGTGTTTCCTGATCAAGACGATCGAGAGTCAACTTGGTATACATCCTTGCCTCGCTTTATGAAGTTCAATCCTGGAATGGATATCGATTTGCTGGGGTTTTGAGTTGAGGAGCATGCATGATGAGTATGAGTATGAGGTGGGGGGTCCATGTTTCTTGCAAAAGCAGCCTAGGGCATGTCGAAGCACATCCAGGGCCGAACAAGCCCTTGGAGTTCCAATGAGTTCCGGCCAAGTTCAATGAACAGGGTCTGACCGGCCATCATGTGAGCAGGGTCGACCGGCCGTGCGGGTTGATGAATTGATAGGGCTTCAACCAGATTTCTCAGAAGGTAAGTCTAACTATGTTGGACTCCCTAAACCTATCCCAACCACTCAGGGGAAATGCCCACTGGGGAATTTGAGATCCTTCAGAGAAGGCGCGACACAAGCCTCACACACTCATTCCGTTCCGCTGCGTAACTGGGGAAGTTTGGGTCGATGTGTTCTTCCCCGGTCACCGGTCGTGACTCGATGGTCCAAACCGAGTGACTCGACCGGAAGCTTCGTAGCTCGCCATTCCGCTGCACCGGACCTGTGGGGTTCCGAACTGAAGGAGGAAGGAGTGCCCCGTGATCCCTGTCACATCCAGTCACGAACGATAGGTTTTTTACACACCACCGAACTCCATGTGACTCGTGGATTTTCATGGATTTTCCAAGGGAGTGACTCGGAGTGACCCATCCGTGAACCCATCTTTTCCCTTTTAACCCATCCGTACGGTATGCGCGCGCGCGCGCGGTGTCGGCCACCCGTTTCTTCCCTTTCGGGTCCAAGCGGACACCGCCGGTCCACTTAGAGCGACGAGCGACGATTTGGCCTGGGTTGTAACATAATTATGTATAGAAGTGGAAATCCACCTGTTTGTAGAGGAATATGGTTGCATCACCCAGAGATCCTGGGGGTTGTTAGGAGCTTCGTCAACTTCAAACACATGGTCAAATGAAAGTCATGAAATACCCCCTAGCAGCAAAGCATTTCCGCAAATTGCACATGTACCGAGGGTTTCTCATGGTTTCCCTCCCTAGCCAAAACCAGTGAACATAATGAACAAAACTCAAACCGTTCTGCTTTCATCAAACCCTTCCGCCATGCGTGATGCTGCGCCCAAGAGTATTCCGGTCATGGCGCGTTTCTTCGTGCATTTGCCTCGTGGTCCTCAGCATCCTGGCAGCAACATGGCCTTGGCAGTTTCTGGTCTTTCAGATGTGGAAAACTGTTTGTGACAAGAACGCTACTAGTAACAAAAAGGGCATCGCTACTAGGAGCAAGGATGCTACTAGTAACTCCTGGCCTTACTACTATAGGAAGCTACTAGTGATCCCGAGGCTTAGAATCAGCTCTAGGCATCCACGATCCACCTCCCCTCTGAGTCAGAAGGTGATTGGACCCTTCAAGCCATAGGGCAGTATTGGCACAGCCCGATGAAGTGTGGCTACTGCTTTTGCAGTGGCTTGTTCGGAGCAGTTCGGATGGTTCAAAGGATAGTTGATGAACACCTTGATACTGAGTGGTTGACACATGTTAGGGTTTCCTCTCCCTGTTCACGGAAGGATTGTTGAGATTCTTTGTTCCCATTCCATCCCCATTCCCCACAAGCAGCCACTAGCACTGTGGGCGGATATGGTGAGTGAACGGAGTTAACATCAACGTATAAGCCACTCCATGTTAATCCCGAGGTCATTTTAGACAGTTTCTAAGATAATAAGGGCCGGAACATTTTTTTTTCACCAGCGATCCCCTTTTTCGGCTTTTTTGTTCGGGCTACCAAGTCCACAAAAGAACCTGAGGAGGGCTTCCACTCATGTGAAGAGTTTGAAGAATCAAGATCGAAAGCCCAGACTCCAGTTCCTCCAAAGGCATGGAAGTTGAACCGCATGGCTCATGCTCGACCTCATGTCATAGTGCATGTGATACACACCCGCTCTTTCAGGCGGCCTCGCGCTGAATTTCGTGAGAGATGCCCGTAGCCCCGGAGACCGCCGGAAGAAGAAGGGTCTCCAGTGTCTCACGTGTCTCGCGCCGCGAGAGTCCTCTCGCATGAGTCCTCCCGCTGTGTTCGACCGCGAAGAGACCCACACCTGAAGGCATTGGTACTGGAAGACGTTTGTTTCCTCGTCAAAGCCAGTGGTTTTCAGATTCCATATTGGTCTCTTCCAGGCAAGCTATATGTGTTTATGTAAGAGACCAATATAGAATCTGTAAGACACATAGCTATGTCTTGCTTGTAAGCTGTGTATGACATAGCAAGCTATGTGCTCTCAAAAGCCCTCTTCTCTTTCGCGGTGAGCCCTCGGACGACGGCGGATGAGGCCCCTGAGCAGGCGCGCGGCGCGCGGCGCTGGGGATGGTCGCGTCGAGTCTTGTGGCTTGCACCAGCGAAACGACAGAGGTTTATTCATTGAATTTTGAATGAGGTTTAACCACTTTTCAATGCAAAACCAACCAAACGAGCTCGAGGTTTAACCAATGGTTGCACCACACAGGTATCAATGAGAAACAGAGACCGCGACGAGAAGAACGGCAGCGGCAAACAGACTTGAAACCTCTGAGCTTGTTGTGTACCAAGACGATTGCTGAACAAGCGAGCATTTAGAACAATCAGCTGAAATGCAATCCTTGACCACATTTGCATAACTCAGACCTGGGCTGCTCAAACATCAATTATGTAAAAATTGCGAACGTTGCACTGACTAATACCCGTTGGATATTCTTGCCTGCAAAAGTTTAGGACCCGGATCTACCCGTTGAAGAAACACTTAAACTGAGACCATGGCCACTTGAACACGGTGTTGGAGGTGTTTGAATTCTTAAGAACCTCATGGTTTTGCTTGATTTTCAATATGAAACACATGGCCCGATTGATAGCTGCTGAGTCTGAACCAGTGATGCTTAGTAAGCAGCTAGTAGATGCTGGGCGTCCGACTTCTGAGCACACCAGTGGTTTTCAACCAAAACCGTCGCCTTTCTCAGTCTACACCAGGTACCAAGTGGCAAAGTACAGATCGGTCAAGTGATGACACACTTCGTCCACCTGAACGTCGAACTTCATTGCGTCGTCTTTCGCCGAAGGCTCGCCGCGCGGCTTGCCGCGGCCGCAGCGCCCGCCGCGCCGCGCCAGCAGACGTGAAGGCAGAGCGGTGCGGGAGGGTGCAGAGGGCGCGCTTGTGGGGAATTGCAGATCTGAAAGGTGAAAGATTTGGTTGCAGTTTATATATGGTTGAGCCTGTGGGATCAGTGGTCGATATATTAAACAAATTGACCCATTTTAACCCTGTGAATCTGGAAGGTGTATTTCATGTTTAGCTGCTGGAAAGCTCCTGGTAGATCGCTACGGTGATTTGAAGTTTCCAATTCCCAGGTTTTCCTGGTTGTTGTTTATAGGCTTATAGGGGCGATGTATGGGTTTTCCCTATGGGTGAATCCCCTGGCACGGGAAAGCCAAGTGGAAAGCCTTCAACTGGCCATTTTCGTGGTACACACTCCCACACCGCCTCAGCAAACTCCAACCGCCTCTCTGGAAACTCCCGCGGATCTGTTTGAAGAGCGCCAGGGGCTCTTCGCTGAGTTGGAGTCGGAACTCCGAGAATGCACTCCCTTGGTCAATGAGCCCAGACCTGAGGTGACCCTCGATGTGAGGCCGTGGTGCTTTGAGCTGGTCAATGGCGGGTGGTTGAGTTCAGTCAGGCAGTAGTAAGGCCAGGTATACGTATTAAATATATTCCCTAGGGATCCAAGTACCTTGTCAGAAGGTGATTGGAAACTGTTTATGTAGGTTTGGAGGGTCCAGTCGTAACTTCTGAGGATACTGTATATATTATGACAGACATAGAGTGTTTGGGTGCTGCTAAGAGTGTTTGGGCGTTGCATGTGGACACGTTAGGTGTTGTCTTGGATTTCGACAAAGGAACACATTTAAAGCGAGTGATGCCTGGAGCATGCACTGGGTACCCAATTGCAAGCCTTGGCGCGTCTACTTGTAAATGCAGTCGGAGACCCAGGCAGGATGGTGCTGGTGTGAGTTCTCGATCTGGCGAGTTTCCGAGCTGTAAAAGGTTTTCTATGTTCTTCTGAGAGTCTGTGTGGTGATCTGTGTGGTGACAGATTAGCGAACGGTCAGAATGGTCCAGATTGGTCACCTGCAGTGTGACGAGTCTTGAAAAAGCATCAGAGAAGTCGACCCCTTCGCACCTCGGAAGATGGGTATGAGCACCTGTCTTTATGGGGTCATGTCATGTCCCATATAAGGTACTTTCGAGGGTCCAGGTAGTTTCAAATGGCTCAACCATTCCAGAATTCCATGACCAACTCTCCAGCTCCTGAATGGTCTCATTTCAATCAGCTCCATCATATAGTCCCCTTCAACAACACTGACTATCAGCCCAGTTTCCTTCTGGGCACAAGTCGTGCAGACTCTCATTGATGAATGCATCAGAACTTTCATCCGATCAAGTATGCTTCTTCTTCTTCTCACTGAAAGTATCGGAGAGGGTGAAATAGTGGTTGAGATTGCCCATGACTTGGAGAACACCACATCCCACATCACTCAATGGGCTGATGTCCACGACGCCACCAAGTGGTGGTTTTGCCAACGAGGAACGCGGAACCACATGGAAACAGGGCTTGGCGAGTCTTTTGACGACTTGTATTGACTACTCTCCACATCTCTCCACGTTTGAATTTCACTATGATTGGGTTGGTCGCCCGTTTGCCTGTTTGGGTTGGTTGCCACACAGAAGGATCTGCAGATCATTTCGCTCAACAAAGAATGCTCAACCCAACCTCTGACCACTGAAGAGTCCCCGAGTCCT